CATCAGTCAATTACTTTCTGGCTTGAACAGCATTTTTACCCTTTCTGTAGTAAAACAGTAAGATATGTCGAAAATGCTGCTTATCGCTCTCCATATTTAAAAGGGCACCAACCAAAAACTACTGCGTAGAATTCTACTGCGTAGAATTAATTGGAATTTTTCATACACAAGCCTTAAAGTATATAAAAATTATACGGCTTAAATGTGAAGTTGGGTGCAAAAGAATACAATTAAATCCTCTGTCGGGAAAAAACGAAATGACTTTCCGAACAACCCTATAGAATACGTTACATTTGTCACTGATCACCCACTTGGTCAATTCGCAAATCCCTAATAATAATGTTCGTATAGTTTATTTTGCGGGAAACTACCGGTGTTTATCTAGATTTACGATAACGATTTTACGCTAAGTTGGTACCTATGCAATGCTCAAGATAATGTTTCACTTCTTTTTTACAATCTCATCAGCGCTAATAAGGTTAAAAGAAACCATTTTTATCCTGCAGTTTCACAAGTGCATTGCGTATTACCTACTGTATTACACTACCTTTATTTATTATATGCTTATACCTACCACAGACGAAAGTAGAAGTAAATTAGTAGAAAAAAGACCTTTTAGAGGTGCCTCTAAAACACTTACCACCTTAAATTACCACAGAGTTTGTATCAGGTTCATATTTTTATCTCGTATAGATATTCGTAATTATTAGAGTTTGGAGAAATTTATTTCTGCACAGCGTATGGTGATTTAAAGCATCCAATCTACTCCAATTATTATTAGGTAAACATATTATGTGCACACGGTAAACCTGTGAACGATTTTTTAATTACCTTTAAAAGAAATCATTATACAGAGCAATTTCTCTTTAATTGGAAATAAACTGACTGACCACATTCATTCTAATACAGCTATAGTACATTACGTTTGACTCAAAAACCATCGGAGGAAATCCAGTGTTGCGGTTTCGGAAAGAAAATAAAGTTTGTGGTCCATAATCATCTCGTTTCCTTTCTCCGTTAATCTAACACTATTTGTAGCTCCATTGAGAAATGTGTTTTAGTTGGTTGTTGTACAATTTATAACTCGTTCCGATGGTGTTGTTAACGCGCGTGCCAAATAATTACATAAATACGAAAATTATGTCAACCTCATAGGTATGCTTTACAGTTTTATAATTTTTTGCCTTCCTACATTTTTTCGGAATCTTTTAATACCATATGTAGTAGCCAAAAAGTTAATGTTTTTATTGTTTCTTCAGAATTTTACTTAACTGAATTAGTGGAGATCGATGGTCTTATGTTTCTCTGTGTATTAGAAGACTTAAACTGTTAAAAAAAAAAGATTGAGTGTTGAGAAGATATGGAGTTCCCTTTGTTTTAATTAATTTGGATATTGTGACTCACACTTTACATTAACGTGATTTCGGGAATACCCGGCGCGGTCGCGAAGATGAGCCAGCTAACAAACACAATACAAAACAGATAGCATATGTAATTTATTAATATGATAACATGTAACCTAGACAAGTAACTAATAAAGGCAAGAATATGACAATGAAATCATCGTAACTAATCAATTTAGTGAAACAGCAATACGTCATCTCACAATAATTTAAAGGCCAAAGAAAATCCCCCAAAACTTAAACTAGCCGAACTGTCAAAATGTTTTGAACAAAGCGTAACACAGTCCTCAAAATCTTTAAATTGCATTATTATTTATATCGAAAAGTATATTCTTTTGATTCTCTGAAATAGATAAATAGACATATAATAGACCTACTATCGAGAAAACAGTTACTCCGTCAAAAAAGTAACAAAAAAGTATTTATATGCATCTGTTTCCGGTTTATAGCACTATTACGTATTTTAATAAAGCTATATGTGTATTGTAAAAGTACAAGTACTCTTCGCGATTCGACGCGCAAAATATCGGTATGCGGTAGGTACTTAATTCGTTATCGGTTCCGAAAGAAAACATTTCAAAGCGGTCCACCTGTTTTGCGAAAAGTCCTCAAAAGTACATTCCAAATAGACTTAGTGAAGTACGAACACGGGAAGATAATTGGTTTTCGGCATGAAGTCACTAGACGCCACTCGTAAATTGAAGTGATTAGTAAAGAGGCGCGCAAAATCTGGACCGCTTTCCTGTTTGGTTAAACCGCGTACAAAGAAATGCGATTTGGGTCATGCAGCGCAAACAAATCACAAAGGATTTTTATCACGAAAGACATACTTAAATATTTATTGGTGTCATTGAAAGGTTGAGTCTTATTACTCAGGTACACACACATACACACATGTACGTGTACATTTATGTAACAGTAATATCTACATATTGATATGTACTTACTTTATGTATGCCTTTATCTAAAATTGGAACGTTCGTATCGCTGGTAATGTATTTGTTCTTGTTATTCATCATCCTCTTCCACTACGGTAAAGAAACTGTCTTATCTTCCTATTTTGCTCCAGTTTCATTTCCTAGTTTGACACGTGCTAAATGTGGCCCATTTTAATATTACCTACACAATAAATTTCCCACACCGATAATCATTTTACGTAACAATCAGTCCGAAAATGCATTTTTGTGTCAAAAAACTTAATTCATCACTCGTTTAATTACGATAAGAAAGTGAAAACAGCATTCAAGGACTAATATGTAAAATAGGCATTTGACGTTTAGGTAACTATTTATACAGGCACTATAAACAATGTATAACGACGATATTTATTAAGTAGTGATTAATATATAGGTGGAATTCCCATTTTAACGAACTGTTCTGTTGAAAAATTGTTAAAATAGAATTTTCATCTATTCCAATATAATAATAATAATAAGCAACCATTTAGATAATTAAACTCTTTGCAGTAAAAATAAAATAGAAATGTATCTTAACAACACGAATGATGTATGTCTTCCTAAGATAATAGTTAATAATAAAATAATTTGACACTAGTAATTAGTACGAAATTGTCACTATCGGTAAATAATATCTAGAGCCGAAAGTAAGTAACTTCAACATTTGTTCAAATTAATATTTATTTCCGCAAGGTACCGACTCTTTACATGTTATAAGATAGACATAACTACATATATATTTTATGTAAGTGGAATAGTGTTTGTTGGTAATCACTTTTTAAGAAAAATAAGTACTTATCCATTAAGATTAAGATTCGTGTTAAAATTTTGCAAATGAATTACTTAGTTTTACTTATTTTTCCTCCAGATTCGGGGCATATAATGGACATTTCGTTACATCCAAATTTGTTGAATAAGGATCTTTTGTTAAATAAGAATAATCAAAGCGACTCGGGTATTCATTCTGCCACTGGAAATTCGTCATTAAGCGATGAAATTATGGACCAGTCGCAAAATTCCGACATAGAAAATCGCAGCGAAAGTAGCTCTCCCGAAAGAAAATACTTTTGTCCAATTTGCGAAACAGTTTTTACTTCTCAACATGAATTTACCCTGCACATTCGCTCTCACAATAACGAATCGGAACCGCAGGACTGCGAAAAGAACTACACTTGCCGCATATGCTTCAAAGTGCTAAGTTCGAGTAGCAGTTTAGATCGCCACAGTTTAATCCACAGTGGCGAAAGACCGTTTACGTGTAAATTTTGCGGAGACACGTTCACAACAAACGGAAACATGCATCGCCACATGAGGACTCATTCTCAACGAAACGACAGCTACGAATCGGACGCTAGCATAAGTAGCAACGATTCGAAAGGAATTGAATATAACAATAATAAAATCAGTAACAAAAGCGACAGTTTAAAAGACTCAACTGAAGACAACAATAACGAGAATAAACGTATATATAGCGAAGATAAATTCAGCAACCCCAAGCGAATATCCAGGGAAGAACCACAAGATCTCACAAATCGCAATCAATTGCAAAATTATCAATGTTCTGTATGCGAAAGGAACGACTTTACATCAATAAATGCACTCGAAATTCATTTGGAAGATAACCATAAGAATTGTTTAACAGTATGTAAACTATGTAACCAAAATTTTAAAAACAATAAACTGCTAAACTTTCACTATAAAATAGCACACCAAATAGAAGAGACTGAAAAAGTACCCTCCGTTGTTGGATTTAAAGATCTTACATTTGTCGACTTCTCTAGCGAAAAGTTTCCGTACATAGCCAAGTATGAATGCGAAAAAAATCTCCACAAGGCATCGAGTGGTCCGAAGTTTATTTGCAAAAATTGTGGTCGGGCTTTTCCTTGCGGCAACTCCCTTGAAATTCACAAAAAGGATTGCTTCGCTGGGCTGGATTTGTCGACAAACGGGAATAAAACTTTGACTCAAGTTCCAGAAGAAAAAGATGTAAAGAGAGCTGAATTCTTTGCGCGTTTAGATCTACACTCGAACTCTCCTAATAAAATAAAAACTGATATTCCACCGGAGACCATTGACGTAAAAGAAAAGCTGCAAAAGCATCTTTTGCAGTCTATCGAAGGAACTAAAGATCTTGCCGATATACAATCGATAATCTCTATGACAACGTGTGGAAGCCTTCTACAACATTTACAAACGAAAACAAGCGAAATCCCTCTTTTACCTTTATCAAATTCATTGGAGAGGAGATCTCACGAACTTCAAAAGCAAGAAAACGAGGAAGAATCGCAAGATGCATTTGCTGCAGAATTTCGAAAGATGAAATTAAGAGGGGAATTTCCTTGTCGACTGTGTACAGCAGTGTTTCCTAATCTACGTGCCCTCAAGGGTCATAACAGAGCTCATTTAAATAGCAATAATAATGGCACTTATCGGTGCAACATGTGCCCACATTCGTCCATTGATAAAGCGGCTCTTATTCGTCACATGAGAACTCATAATGGAGACAGACCTTACGAGTGTTCACTTTGCAATTACGCCTTCACAACCAAAGCAAACTGCGAAAGGCACCTGAGAAATAGGCATGCCAAGAGTACCAGAGAAGAAGTGAAAAAGTCGATCATATACCATCCTTCTGAAGATCCAAGTAACGACGAAATTACTAAAATGTTAACTCGAGAAGAAGCTAAGAAAGGTAATTGCAGTAATGATGTGGGAATTGCCGTCAACGATGCCAAAAGCAGCAGTAGTCCTAAGAGTTTCAGTACTCGCGATAGACATAATTTTATTTCGGAAAACTTTTCTTTTAATAATCGGATACCATCTAGTCATAGTTTACCCATAACAGCGAATTTTCTATCGTTGAAAAATAGTCTACAATTGAAACAGCTTAATGATGAAGGTGCGATTGCTACAAACGATGAAGTCTTACGAAGTTCCGCCGATATAAAAAATAAAAAGGAATTTTTGTCACCGTATCTTACGCATTCGTTGAAGTTTTCCCCTAAAATTGAAAACATTTCGACACCACAATCAACACCAAAATTGCAAGTGAAAAAATTGGAAACCCTTAAGGAAACCACCGTAGAGGGTAATCCGACGAATAATGTTGAGTGCAACCGAAACTACAATCTTGAGGAAGACGAATCGATAAATTACGTTCTGGACCTGAGTAAGAAGAAGAACTTAAAAGAAGAAGAAACTTCGAATAGTATGGAGGAGTTGCCGCAAGATTTAACAAAGAAATCTGAATCAGATGATAAACACAACGTCGGTGACATTTTAACGCAGCAATTACTTAAAAATGCCCCGAAAATAGACCCCCTGTATGCATCGCAACTTGCATTCTACAGGAATAGTTTTCATGGTTTGTCAAGTTTTCCGTATTGGCCATTGACTTGTAATCCCCTGCTTTTTTCATCGGTACAACCTCCAATTTTTCCTCAAAATCCACAAGATGTTAAAGACCGACTCCAGAGACTTCAGTTCTGCAGTGGCGGCATGATTATGGACAATTTTAAAGAAAGGCTGAAACACATGCAACACGTAGCAATACCAAATATTAACTCGCTTAATAGTCCAAATAAAAATGACCAAACCCCCGATATGAGCAAATCATCCGAATCCAGTATTTTAAATTCAAATTCTTCCGAAAATATGGACAAGCCTCCATTAAGTATCGGTTTGGAGCCTAACTATCCGGAAAGTATTTCCAACGTTCAAAGTCCAGTTTCTTCCCATCCTAAATCGGAAATTGTTCATTCGTCAAACTCGGTAAAAATGGTAATTAAAAATGGAATTCTAATGCCAAAACAAAAACAGAGACGGTATCGAACTGAAAGACCATTTTCATGCGAACACTGCTCTGCGAGGTTTACTCTTCGATCGAATATGGAGAGACATATAAAGCAACAACATCCCCAATTTTGGTCTCAACGACAGCGATCCAATTTGAATACATTAGGAAGGAAAGGTCAAACACAGAGCCCAAAAGACGGTCTATGTAACATTAACGTTCCGACGTATCATTTGCCAAAATCGTCCGAGCAACCCGAAAACAAAAGTCATAAGATTTCGGACAAAATAAAATACGCCATCTTGGCCCAACATCTAAAGTCAACTCAAGAAGCAAATCCATACTTGTTAGAAATGCAGACGAAGGAAGACGACGATGATTGTGAATTGATAATTGATGAAAACGATGACAGCGGCTTTAAAAATAGTAATAATGAACACAAGAGATCAGGAAAATTGCACGTAGATAATCGCCCTTCGCTAGGGGAAGATGAAAAATCCGGTCTTCTCCAAGACAATTCAAAGCCAGCATTTAAGAATGAAGACAGTCATGATTTGGTACCTGTTTCTCGTCTTCTTGACAATGCATCTCAACAGCCGTTCAAAGATTATTTTAATAGAGAGAATGAAGAACATGACGACGGAAATAGTGAGGAAGAGGAGGAAGGCTTGGTAGCTAGTAGCAGTACTAGCGAGGAAAATAATTCCGGAACTGATGAAAACAGGTAGATATTCCCAAAATATTATCGGTAGGTAATTGTACTTTTCAATTATATTTATTTTTGTTGCAGATCCGAATCTGAAAATAACGTAAACAGCCGTCAACCGCCAAAAAAAAAGTCCGCATATTCTTTAGCTCCAAACAGGGTAAGTTGCCCGTATTGCCAACGAAAGTTTCCTTGGACTTCCTCCTTAAGACGCCATATCCTCACTCACACTGGACAAAAACCTTTCAAATGTAGCCACTGTCCTCTCTTGTTTACTACAAAATCAAACTGTGACAGACACTTACTGCGTAAACATGGCAATTCTGCTACAACTATTACTAACGCCGCAGATAACAGTCAGACGCCTAATTATTTAATGCGAAATGTCCCCGAACGCCCCTTCAAATGTTCTAATTGTCCTAGCAGCACTTTTTCCACATATTCAAATCTAAAAAAGCATATCAACTGCAAACACTCGACACCTAGCTCTCAAAGTGACGACGCACATTCCCAGGTATCAACTGGTTATGAAGCGGGCAGTTCGGAAGATGAAAAACAGATGAGCAATGGAAATCAGACTGACTGGGACAAACAAGTTTCCCAAAACAGAATTAATGTTTCCAATGGAAGCGTAGAAATACAAAATTCTCATGTTCAAAACTCGGAATTGCCGTTCAAATGTCACTTGTGCGATAATTCTTTTGCCGAACGTCAAGACACTCTGGATCATATCAAAGAGAAACACGTTTCAGAATATGAGTTACTAATGTCAAAAAATGCTTTGGAAAGCCACCTGACAATGGAAGACAGCGCTCATCAGTACGAAGACGAAAACGAAGTGCGAGGAAAATTTCCCGATTATACTAATCGAAAGGTAATCTGTGCGTTTTGTATGCGTCGATTTTGGTCTGCAGAAGATTTACGACGACATATGAGAACTCACACTGGCGAAAGACCGTTTAGCTGTGACATTTGCCAAAGAAGATTTACATTAAAACATAGTATGTTAAGACATCGGAAAAAGCATAACGTCGCTTTCGAGAATGACACTCTGAACAGCGACGAAGATATCAATAATCCTGGTAGTAATTTATTACATGAAAAAATTACGAAACTAAACAGACTAAAATCTACAGAAAAAACTGACGATTCCGACGGAGCCGAAGGTAGCGATCTTATCAGTAATCTGTTGGGAATACGAGATCGATCGATTATTGATCAAGTACTGACTGCATCTGCTGACGATGCAGCCAAACTTTTGGGTGTGAAAAGCGGTGCTCCGGAATGAAAAATCTAGTGCTTTGATTAGAGTAATTGTAAATAGGTCAACTTAGCAGATAGAAAACGATTTATATATATATATATATATGTGTAAGAATATTTAATCTTTCTACCACTACCAAAGTTGTTAATGACTGTTCTGAAGGTAATTCTTGACGTTCGTTCGTAGGTATATTGTGCATGCTTGCAGTTGTAAGTATATTTATTGTAGTATCTTTGATCTAGTCATGGTCATCTATCGTTTAACTTTAGGTAGAAATGTACAGTTTAATTTTAAATCGTAGTAATGTAGGCGAACTTTGTGTCGAATGGTCTAATAGTTTGAATCCAAATTGCTGTAATTCTGACATTATATACTTACGATTAGTGTTAAGTTTTTGCGAAACTTGTTTATGATAAAATAAAGTTTTAAAACGCTTGTAACTATTTAAATTGAAGACTTGGTTTGTATTATCTAAATGAAATTTATGTTAAGCGTATTTATGTTGTTATTTTTTGTACTGTTTTAAATGTTATTTTAAAATTATTTTAATTAGAAAAGCAAATGGAGTGTTTGTTAGTAATCAAAAGTAAGATACCATGCTACTAACGTAAGTGCATATATCGACATATATTTATTTTCGAAAAATTCATTTTGGTGTTATTACTATTCTGGAATTTCTGTAATTATTATCACGTTTACTTTTGTTGAATTCTTTTTTTAGAGATGTAAAAATAGGCGTATATGTACTTGTCTATTATTTCTCCATACTGTAGTAATTTTTCGACAGGATTGTACATTTTAATAAAAGCATTACGGTCTAGAAAACCAAATATTAAATTTATAAAGGTAGAGATTTAATTAATAGGTGTTCGTTTAGTTTTAAAGATGGTGAAAATATGCTATGTATCTATCTATACTTACCGTGTAGGCGAGTAAGAACGTACTGTACCATAAAATAATAGAAAACTTATAAATCCTTGCGGAAGTATATTTAATTTAAGCAATATGCATATAGGTATTAGTGCTATTTAAAATTATTGTTATTATTGATGAAACGTAGTTAATATTATAATAAATTAACGCTTAAATGCACGGAATAGTAATAGAATAGTAAAGGTTTTGTCTGCTATCTACAATAGTTTTTACGCACCATTATCGAGAAAAGAAAAATGAATTTATTGATTTGTATTATGTTACAAGCACACATTCGTTGTTGTTTTAAGATGCACTTGATTTTAGTGTTTACTGCATTTATCACACATTCACGCTGTGTCTTAACCAATTAGAAAAAAATTAATTAATAGCAGAAAACGTTTTTGCATCTGAAGGTTGTGAATATAAGTTAGATTTATAATAACGATGCAGTAATTGCAACTGTATTTTTATGTGCTTTATGCACGCTACCTACGTATATATATATCGATATATTGTATGTAAATTAATTATTTGTTATATTGCCATATTTCTGTAGTTACTACTTCCTTAATTAGTTTTCAATAAATTATGCTCAATTAATTTATATTGAGTAAAATTACTTGCGTAAAGGATTTAAGAAACACTGTTATATACCACTTATCATCATCATATAGAGCTACATATGCACCCCCACTCCTTCCACTCCTGAGTCAGTCTTCCCATTTTTCGAAAATTACAACCCCGTCACCCAACATACATATCTCTAATTGACCCTTCATGCCATAGGGGATGCCCTATCTCTCTCTCGTAGCGTCCTCTGTTGTTAATATGATCAAAACATGTGTATATTTCAAATAGTTATTCTAGAAATTAGGGGTGACTCTCTTTTACTTCAGCTACTTACCACTACCACAATATTCTTTATTATTCTGCTGTTTAATTGAACTTATTTATTAGTAAACAAGAATATCGACAATAGCTGTATTTATTTTACAAATTGAAAACAGAAATTTATATTATAATCACTTGAAAATTTCTCTTCCTTTATATCTGGTAGCCTCTTATAAATAACCGTTTATTCTTTTTAGCGTCAAACTATTAATAAATTATTTCATTATCCATACATATTAGTAGTAAATCTGTACAGATATTATTTAAATAATTTTATTTCAATTTCTTAAATTTGAGTGAATCAACCCCATTGTAATAAATTGAAGTATTATTTTTCGGCACTAATGACTCATTAGGGAAAACACTTCTATATTTACCATTTATTAAATTTATATTTATTAAGGTCTACATTAATATACCTTGATAATTTTAATTGACAAGGGTCATCATGGGATTATTTAAAATTAATTATTTTGCAGAATTAAGTGTACTATTTCACAATCTGAGCACGAATGGCAACTCATTGGGTTTACTTGGCTCCTACCTAAACAACAAATAATCTATTATATGTATCCTTCTTTTTGAACCCCATTTGATGGTGTATCCTTTTTTGTCATTAGAAATATTCTGCAGTTAATCCTTACAGGATTCAAAATGATATATTAATTATGCTCATATGCTGCACGTTACTATACTCTTCGGTACAATGGGTTGCCTGTATGAAAGGAGACCTATTATTGAATTAAAAATTGATTATTCTATACGAAGCAAAGATATTAATTATGCTCATATGCTGCACGTTACTATACCTTTCGGTACGATGGGTTGCCTGTATGAAAGGAGACCTATTATTGAATTAAAAATTGATTATTCTATACGAAGCAAAGATATTAATTATGCTCATATGCTGCACGTTACTATACTTTTCGGTACGATGGGTTGCCTGTATGAAAGGAGACCTATTATTGAATTAAAAATTGATTATTCTATACGAAGCAAAGATATTAATTATGCTCATATGCTGCACGTTACTATACTTTTCGGTACGATGGGTTGCCTGTATGAAAGGAGACCTATTATTGAATTAAAAATTGATTATTCTATACGAAGCAAAGATATTAATTATGCTCATATGCTGCACGTTACTATACTTTTCGGTACGATGGGTTGCCTGTATGAAAGGAGACCTATTATTGAATTAAAAATTGATTATTCTATACGAAGCAAAGATATTAATTATGCTCATATGCTGCACGTTACTATACTTTTCGGTACGATGGGTTGCCTGTATGAAAGGAGACCTATTATTGAATTAAAAATTGATTATTCTATACGAAGCAAAGATATTAATTATGCTCATATGCTGCACGTTACTATACTTTTCGGTACGATGGGTTGCCTGTATGAAAGGAGACCTATTATTGAATTAAAAATTGATTATTCTATACGAAGCAAAGATATTAATTATGCTCATATGCTGCACGTTACTATACTTTTCGGTACGATGGGTTGCCTGTATGAAAGGAGACCTATTATTGAATTAAAAATTGATTATTCTATACGAAGCAAAGATATTAATTATGCTCATATGCTGCACGTTACTATACTTTTCGGTACGATGGGTTGCCTGTATGAAAGGAGACCTATTATTGAATTAAAAATTGATTATTCTATACGAAGCAAAGATATTAATTATGCTCATATGCTGCACGTTACTATACTTTTCGGTACGATGGGTTGCCTGTATGAAAGGAGACCTATTATTGAATTAAAAATTGATTATTCTATACGAAGCAAAGATATTAATTATGCTCATATGCTGCACGTTACTATACTTTTCGGTACGATGGGTTGCCTGTATGAAAGGAGACCTATTATTGAATTAAAAATTGATTATTCTATACGAAGCAAAGATATTAATTATGCTCATATGCTGCACGTTACTATACTTTTCGGTACGATGGGTTGCCTGTATGAAAGGAGACCTATTATTGAATTAAAAATTGATTATTCTATACGAAGCAAAGATATTAATTATGCTCATATGCTGCACGTTACTATACTTTTCGGTACGATGGGTTGCCTGTATGAAAGGAGACCTATTATTGAATTAAAAATTGATTATTCTATACGAAGCAAAGATATTAATTATGCTCATATGCTGCACGTTACTATACTTTTCGGTACGATGGGTTGCCTGTATGAAAGGAGACCTATTATTGAATTAAAAATTGATTATTCTATACGAAGCAAAGATATTAATTATGCTCATATGCTGCACGTTACTATACTTTTCGGTACGATGGGTTGCCTGTATGAAAGGAGACCTATTATTGAATTAAAAATTGATTATTCTATACGAAGCAAAGATATTAATTATGCTCATATGCTGCACGTTACTATACTTTTCGGTACGATGGGTTGCCTGTATGAAAGGAGACCTATTATTGAATTAAAAATTGATTATTCTATACGAAGCAAAGATATTAATTATGCTCATATGCTGCACGTTACTATACTTTTCGGTACGATGGGTTGCCTGTATGAAAGGAGACCTATTATTGAATTTNCCTTATAAAATTCTATTATATTTGCTCTTTTTTTCTAAGACTCAGACTAATTTCAAATTGAACTGCGCATTTTCATACGCCGATTGTACTTCGAAAATTTTCCGTACGTTCGCTCGTCAATAGCGCCAATACATGTTTACAGAATCAACTGGAAAATTCCACATTAGCTAATTAATGTTGGTTGTCCGTGTATTGTTATTATTGCTAATTGTAACTGTTTGGAAAGTAAAATATTGAGTGAAATAAGTGAAAAAACATTACATTTTCTTACAATTATGTGAACGGTTCGTTATAAGGAAATTTTATTAATAAAGACAAAATTAACGAGAAACTGTGTCCATGGATAATTCTTGTGCACTGTTTTGGTTAATATGGAGCTTTCTATATTGGATAATTCATGGTGAACAATACTTAATTTATGGTGAGTTTTTCACATTTAAATATGTCTCTAATTTTCGAATTAAGATGAATTTTAAAAGGTTTTCCTCGTCGAGGACTTATTTCAATAATTTCAGCAGTTTTGAGTATTTAGGATTAAATCAACTTTAATCTGCAGATACCTAATTTTCTATATTAATTTTAGTATATCTTTTAATCAGAGATTATTTTTAAAATTATATATAAATA